TAGTACTGATATAGTTAGCATGCGTTGGTAGTGTGGCTGAGGTGTTATGACACTGTTTTCTCTGGCCTGTTGAGTGTGACAGCACCGCATTTTTCTCGGCATCAAATCACTGCTATAATTGGCTACCCTATAAGGGCTCGAAAGATACTGCACTTTACTCAGATCTTGTGAAGGGTTGTTACTTCCACTATCCCGGTCCACAGTGTGTGGTTGAGCTTGCTGGATAGTAATTTGGCAACTTTTCCAAATTGAGGTGGGTGGGTATTTGGATTGGAGACCCTCACCGTTCCTTAACCAGATGCATTTTGAATTCGTCATAGAGATATTGGAGAATGGGATCAGAGATCCGATACCTGATGTGGGGATCCGATTGTCTTAGCCACGCTGAACCACGCTGACACGTCGCTCTTGTCCTTAGAGTGGCTATTACCACATCCAGGGGGTCCTGTTTAGAAGTACAATCAGTTATTTGGAAGTTAAGCAAGCAGAATCACCTAACTTATTTAAATTAGAAATAACTTTTGAGGGAGGAAAAGTGGACCAGGGATGCTTTTCTTTCCGGCGACTTAACCCACAATCTATCTAATCACATGAGGTAAGATTTTATTTTTCATTCACGATTTGCAGATTCCATTCCTTAGGCGCAGTCAAGGCATATGTAGCCTGACTTCGATGATTGTAGTTCTAGTTATAGTGCTTATCAACGCTTCTAATTTACATAACCGAGATGACCCGCCGCTCATTCATTCTCGTGGATTTATGCTTCGTTCACTCATTCTAATCATAGCCGTGCGTAAGTGCTGTCGATAGTTCAGACAGAGGGAAACAACATTTCCATGCCAGAGACTTCCCATTCGGTAATTGAAGGCACCAAGCTAGACGCAAATGCCTGATTTGCGGAAGAAAGGGTATAAGTTGGCAAAGCCAAACGAAATATGTAAACCAACAATCCAAGCACTTCGACAAACCTCGTATTTGTACAGAAAGAACAGGCAAAAAGCGGAAGTGAAGCGGCGCAATTAGTACATGAAATTGAATTAGCTTTGTTTTAGGCACCCTAGTAATTAGATATCCTTTATTTAATAACTGGTGTCATGTAATACAATTGAAAGAAATTCTGTCCTCATTATATTTTTTATCTTCCTAATTCTACTACAACATAAAAGATACCAACTTGCTACAGGGACATAAATGAACTACACTTGTCAAATGTTGACGTTGTGTGTACAGAAGGATGCTGACCTGAAACACAGATTGTGATTGTAATGCTTTATTTGCATGACCACCTGACGTTTGGCGGCCATTTTAGGATGTGTTTGGTCCTTGTACGAGTGAGCTGGACTTCGGGCTATGCTCAAGTCCAATTAATGTAATTTTCAGGTGTCGACTTATCGGATCATACCAGATACTGCTCCACGTGCAGCAGAATTGGAGCTCAACGTACTATTCATGGTTATCAACAAAACATTTGCTAATTTATAAGGGAAATCAAGAGAAATATTTGGAGATATTGTGATTTTACTCTTAGGCTGGCGCTTACTTGCCAGCTATTGATTTTTTTGTGCAAAATTAAGACTTGAGTTTGTTTAAATTCTTATTCTACGTGCCAGTGATTTTGTGCTCTAGGTCGGTTTTAACTCGTGATATCACGCAATCTACCTTTTGAGTCTGTTAGTACGCCTAATTTCACAAATAGACGATAAATTAGAATTTTGGAAACTTGGTTGCTAGTGTTTATTACCTCAATACCATGGGAAATCCAGTCACACTGAATAAATCAGAAGGCAGCTTGTGGTTCATTGTGTAGTTAATCATCCACTTTTACAAGGAGAATTGTTCCAAATGTAGATTGAATCGTGCGGTCCATAACTTCGTCCTTTGAAAGTGAAACTTCTTGGCATCGTACTTCTTTCATGATGGCAGGTGGTCTTTCTGTCGGGAACCGCTGTGACACTGATACTCCACACTTTTACATCTCTTCGCCTTTTTGGCATTGCTCTGCGTGGGACTTATTTGTCGCTTAGTTTCCTTTATACTTCTTACCTGCACATCTGTACTTATTCTACAATTTTAGTATTCCTAGAACAATGCAGCGTCTTATGTCGCGTTTCCGATCCAGTCTTTTTGTCCCACTTTCCACCTCCTCTCATGCTGCGCCAGCATTCCAGTCTCGTGAATTTTCAGTGAAAGTCACACAAAAGGCGCCAAACTTTGCTGGAACTGCTGTTGTTGATGGCCAATTTAAGGAAATCGAACTACGAAACTATCTCGGGAAGTATCTTGTTCTTTTCTTCTACCCCCTGGACTTTACTTTTGTCTGTCCAACCGAGCTTATTGCTTTTTCCGATCGAATTGAAGAGTTTAATAAAATCGGGTGCAACGTTATTGGTGTTTCTACAGATTCACATTTTAGTCATCTCTCTTGGATTAATACGCCTCGAAAAGTAAGCTTTTTTCCATTCGAATTAGCTACATGTGATTATATGCATAGTTTTTTCTTGATTCTTGCTGTTTTGCATCCGTAGGCAGGGGGATTGGGTGGCTTGAGATATCCCCTTTTGGCGGACTACAAAAAGGAAATATCGAGGGCATATGACGTGTTGTTAGAGGACAGTGGTGTGGCTCTTCGCGGACTTTTCATCATCGATCAAAAAGGCACTATCCGGAGCATGACAATCAACGATTTACCTGTCGGGCGTTCCGTTGACGAAACCCTTCGTCTTGTTAAGGCATTCCAATTTGTTGAAGAACATGGAGAAGGTGAGCGGCACTTTGCAACTCTTAATCAGTCCTTTTGTTATGAATTGCTATTTTGCTTTTTTGTTGCCTTGGATGCTGCTGGAAGTTTATTTATCACCTATCCTTTGGCCTTTTACTACGTCGCTTTAAGTGCACAGGCGCTTGAAGTCTTGCTTGTCTTTAACTCTGTTTTGCTAGACTCACTAAGCTTGGCTGGCGGCAAAACTTAGCTTAGCATAGGTATTAGCCGTTGTTTTTTAAACACTTTAGTTTATAGGAAATTGAAAAATAACTTCTAAGAAGCTAAACTACACCAATTGTTTAAGCGTTTATTAGACACTGACACATTCCAGTTTTTTGACTGGGAAGTTTTTTTTCCTTCCTGAAAAATATCTCTTCTAGTAAAAGTTTACCACACCATGGGTTTTACACCACGGATGCGTTTATGTAAATAAGTGTCCATAGACAAAAATTGTGTACCTTCATCAATAACATTCGTGACCAGCGGAATTGTACATCCACTCTCACTGCCTGGCTTCTTTGCGGCGTGCCACTAAGATGTGTTAGCTCGTAGCATACATTCATAGTAGTACCAACACCTCTTAGTTTAGCCTTAGCGTTTATCGTCTCCGTTTCGTGTAAGCAATACTTTTATTTTTTCATATTGAACCTGTCCGTCATTATGGCTTGTTATTGGGCCTAGTGAAATGCTTCGAATTAGTTTTCGTCAAACTGACCCTTTTGACAGCCACCGGTGCATCATCTGTGGACACTTATTAAATGCAATATCGTCTAAATTGTCGGTAATTCTTTTCACTTCCTCATTTTTAGTGCGTTGATAATTTTTTTCCGGTTGAGTTTAATTCCATGGTTTATGTACTGTGTCATGTATCAATCTGGATGAGTTGAATTAGCGTATTAGATATTGACTGTTTGTGGTCTGGTGCTGATATTCGCTTCTTCAAATTGTTTTTTTTTACCTTGCTGTCGAATGCGCAAAGTAAACTCCATACTTC